AATTATTTGTTATGACTTATGATAGGCAACCACTAACGACCATCACAAAATTGGGAAGAAATGCAAATATATTCGTTTTGTAGTAAAAATATGCCCAAAGAAGAAACAAAAACTATTAATAATGGGATAGAGAACAATACTAAAACAACTGTTTTGATATTTTGTAACTATATACTTTTTCTGGAGTAAGAAATTTTGAAAATGAGACTAGCTTGAGTCTGTTTAGATTGGCTTTTAGTTTTTTAACTTATAAATCAAAAGTTATAAATTTAAAATCTTAATTTATGACTTTTAATTTATGTTTATCATATTGACTTAAAATCAAATGATTATAAGAAACATTAATGAAGCGCATGCTTAAAAGCAATCCCTAACTGCTAATTGTTTGTTTCTTCTAATTTTCTCCCTTTTTTACAATTAATTACTAAGTGAAGGGGTTTCCATATTTGTGAGTTTTTGAAAGTTATCGTTGATTTCGGTCACCAGATACATAACTAACTCTCTCTCTCACCTCTCTCTAATCTTGTTCGCCTCTTTCTCTCCCTATGACATGTATCTAGGGTGATTCTCATGTATTTGGTATACATTGACTTTCTGGCTTGTCCGTGTCTTTTCTCGCACGTCTCTCGCATCTCTCGCTCGTCTCTCTCCATGTGTATTTGTACTTTATAGTGTATCTGGAGAAAAAATATATGTATTTAGATGTATCTGACTTGAATTTGATATAAAATTATTAATAAGTTTATTTATATGTAATTATTTCAAACTATACAGAGAATTTGTAAAAGTAAAATGGTAGGAAAATTCGTGTAATTACGTAGTTTTTCTTCTTTTTGTTCTCATGGACCAGCCCGTTGGTGCTTGTCTTTTCATTTGAATGAAAACCCAACCACAACAGAAAAAAGTAGCCCAACCCATTTATAACTCAATTTTCTTTCTGGGTTTGTTTGACTGTCAAGAGGGAAATGAATTTGGGCCTATGAGAAGCCCATTCCGATCAATTGTTGTACTTTAATCATAATGCGGTTAAATTAAAATATTCAAACTCATGACAAATTTCTAGAGTTTTATCATATGATTAAATACTAAAATTCTATGTAGATAATCGTGAAATGCTTATTTTCTTGAGTATCTTGAACATGGGTGGAGCAAGAAGCGAGAGTACAGATTCGACCAAATTCAATAACTGTTGCTCAAATAGTTTGTATTAAGAAGGTACAAATATTAAGTTTGGATCCAGTTATTAATACTTGAAACTGTTGTTATAAAATTCAGAACGCATAATATTAAAATTCCGATTTTCGCCTCTAATCTTGAAGTGCCTAGATTTAAACCCTTCCTGTAAGTCTCAACCAATTTTGTATTCCAAAGTCATGTACTTCAAGATTAATCTACTATTCTCTCCAACTTGTTTTTAGTTTAAATTACTTATTAAGTTTAGGGGCCTTATATGCATCACAAAAAATGTTTCATTCGTTCATTTTTATTTGTCAAGTTTTACTTTACAAAAGTCAATTTGATCAATCTTTGAAACTAAACTAAACTAGATTAATTCAATATTTCAATTTTCTTATGTTACAAACTATAAGAAAAACACTATAAGTTGCAATTTTTCTACATCTTAAAATATTGATTAAAACTCATTCAGTTTATAACTCTTGAAAAGCGAAATGTAACAAATAAAAGCGAACTGATCAGAGAAAGTATTAAGTTTCAATGAATTAAGTCACTTAAAAGATAACTTCAAATAAATAGTACATAATCGTGTTGATTATCTAAAGATAATGGTAGGTACGTAAAATTAAAGGTTATTTCTTTCACTTTCAATTTGCTCCATAAATCAAACTCACTGAAATAATTCATTGGGTCCCCATTTCTATTGTTTTGTTCTGAATTGAACTCACATTAACCATTTTTTTCAATTTCACTTTTGATTTAACCATGATATTTTATGTGGTCCAAATTAGAAGTTCTCTAGTGAAGATAAGAGTTTTGGCTTCTCCTTTTGGTATGATTAGACACCCCCTACCTCTTAGCATATTTTGTCACTATATATATAAAAAAAATTAGGTCCACAATGAAATCAATAATTGGGGTGTCAGCCAAGCACAAATTCAAAAGCATTGGATTGTCCCATTCCCCAAAGGATGATATTTTCTTTGAGGATGATCCAAAAGCAAGGGTACTGGAGCTAGAAGTCCAGCTACAGATTCAGCTGAATTCAATAACGTTTGCTTAAATATGATATTTATATTTTATAAACATCATTAAGTTTAGGACTCAATTATTAACACTTAAATCGTTGTTATAAAATTTAAAATCATAAAATTAAAATTTTGATTTTGTCTCAAACTCTAAAAGTACCCTCCATAGAGAACTCATTTCATTTCAAATTAGCCCCACTCTTTGATTGAAAGGCGTAATAAATAATTTCACTGGCTCCAGCTGTTTCTCTTTATTACTTTCACTATATTTTTAATAGAGTTATAGTGCTTTATAAGGTATAAGAAAAATAAAAGATACTGTAGATAATGATTAATTGAGATGATGGGCCTTTACATAATTCGATTGATGAAGGATGGTAATAGTCTTTTTTATATGATTTTGAATGATTCTCATTGTAATTTTTATAATAGTATCAGAGTCAGACTCATCTCAATTTTTGTCTATCGATTTGGGGCTCATATTATACTTGTTCATGCTCAAGTTAACAGACCTAGGTGTGCGAGGATTTCGTTTTGAGCTTTTCATATCAATTATTAAGGGGTGTCATAAGGTCTTTTGATATTATCTTGATCAATTCTCGACTAATTATGAGTCAACTTTTGAAGTTTAAATTATATTTAAAATCTATTTCTTTAATCATAGTAAAAATGGATATAAAATGATGGTCATTATAACAATGATTAATTTAGCTAATGGCCTATTTATGATTGTATATAGATATATAATTATGAGCACAGTTGTATCACACTTATACATGGTATTGGTGGATATCAATACTCCTTAAGTAGGTGGTAGTGTCATAATTATATTGGGATAACATATTTTAAAGTTTAGTAGGTCAAGACGTAGGAGTCTTTCATGTAGTCTTATTTGTGATAAATATATTCATTAGGGTATCTAGTCAGAGGTTAATTGACTTTATTACATTGAATTATTGAGGCATAAAGGTCATGAGCATCACGAGACAAAAACTATTAATACTCCATCTGTCCACTTCTAATTGTTATGTTGTAGTTTTCGAAAATCAATTTAATTAATTTTTAAAGTTAAATTAGATTATATTAATTCGATATTTTAACAAAACATTTAGATATTCAAATACTATAAGAAAAGTACTATAAATTCCAATTTTTTATCATATTAATATGATGAAAAAATACATCGTAAAATATTAGTCAAAGTTATTATCGTTTGACTCTAAAAAATGAAAGTATGACAATTAAGAGTGGACGGAGGTAGTACCACTTACATTACCAACCTATCGCACTTATTAACACTTTTTAGGGTAGGAAAATTTTAATCGCTCAGTTGATTGACTACCTGAGGTCCTGAACTCTCATCTTATTGGTAAGTATTCAATTCTCCACATTGTAATCTCCTTCCCATTTTTGACGAAAAAATTCAGGGGAAACGATTCAATTTTTCTTTGGTAGATATTTTCTATAAGAAAATAAGTTTTTTTTAAAAAAGTATACGAGAAAATGATCTTTCAAAATGAAAATAGAAAAAAATAAGTTACATAAGCATCATTCAAAGTTCATTATGTCGTCTTCACTTTCCAATATATCTCATTTTCATCCCACACTCTTGTAGATCACCCCATCTCTTCTACCAACCTAGACTCTATCCCCCACCCACACCTCCATAATATTTTATATAAATGATATATGTAAATGCTTTTACTATACTTGTATTTTGTTTACCTAAAAAACATTTTTTTTAGAAAACATTTTTCACGTACCAAACATAGATAAACAAAAGAGTAATTGCCCAAGCGGTATACGTAATTTAACAAGTCTTGTGAATTGATTTTCTTCTCTCTTTTTTTTTCCCTTGTTTGTTTGTTTGTTTAAAAGAAGGGTTGTGGTACAATAATTCAAAGTAAATTACTTCTCGTGTTCAATATGAATGACTATTCGATGTGATATACAACAGCCACATTAATGCATCTTTCATTTGCCTTGCAACCTCAATAACTTAATTAATAGAGTTAATGTCCCCATCCTAGGCTGTAACATCTAAAACTCGAGTGACGGAATGATAGGTACTTCTTCATCTTTAATAGAATTGGACTCAACTTGAGAGAAGGTTTGAGCAATTCAAAAGTAGAGAGCTCGAGCACAAGACACTCACCTACCACAATTTGAGTTTTGTTGATCTTCTCAAATAGAAAAGTGTTCGGATCAAAATAACAAGGCTATCATGCGAAAGCTAATAATTATAAATTTTCATGGTGATATACCAAATGACACATAAAGTTATATTAAAATTCAAAAGATAATTCTGAAGTGACCCTATTTGTGCTGACTCAACATGGACCCTCATATTTATACCTATTTTATTTCTCTTGTCCCCTAGTGGGGACATGATGCAGCCCGTGAGTTCGTAAGCGGGACCAACATAGAAATAAAATGCTATAAAATTATACACAATTATCACATGGAAATGTGCAAAATTGCCTCATAAACTTGATTTTGACAACATAAATACGATTTTAGTCATGTTTCCGTACACCCCGCAGTATTATTTAAATTACACCTTTATGTATTTCGAATCAAATTTAAATTTTTTATCTACAGTAGTTATTTGATTCATTTTATATCATATGGCCAAACGGGGAGCCAATAGTTAATTTAGTTGATCTCCTCACTGAACAATAATAATAAAAATAGCAATAAGTAATATTTGGGCTAAGAGTAGAATGCAAATGAAAATACTTCATTAAAAAGAACAAAACAAAGAGATAATGAAAAATTTTACATACTACAAGATAAAGTGGCACCAAAAATATATAACATGGAGTTCATGTCATTTTTTTCTTTTTATCTAATCTTTTTATACAATGCAAGACTGAACCCCAATTTTCCTCCACACCTAGTTATGATTAGTCTTGTGCTGGTGGTGCTGGCACTCAACAGGGGCAACAGGGAACCTAGCAGTATCCGTGCAATAGTCGTAAACCATATGGTTCGCCTTGACCCAAATCAGCTGATGACTCTGGTGCACATTCAACTCGGACATAACAGGTTCGTCCCACCAGTACTTCTTTTGTCCATTACTGCTGCACCGCCGAGTATTCTCGGCAGCTGCAACAGTTGCTGGACACGCACAACCGTTAATCTCAAATCCCTTATAGGATGCTACAAAGGGCGCGTGTGACCAATCAGTCTTCACAAGCCCGCCTTGTGTAGCCCAATCATCTGCATTCCAAATCGAACTATACACACCCATTGGTTGATCCTTGGGGTATGGGATTCCTCTGTGCTCTAAATTCGAATGCACACGAACAGGGGTCTCATCTACCAAGAATCTGTTTTACAACAAATTCAAAAATTAAGTAATCAAGAACAAACATTCAAGCTCGATTCTTGAAAAATTAAACGAATCTTTGTGATTTCAAGAGTTAGGATACTTACACAACTTGACGTTGATTCCACATGATGGAATAAGCGTGGAAATCCTTTGATGGGTCGAACCAAAGCTTCAATCTTTGTTCTCTGTTACCAATACCATTGACATACACATTTGTCTGAACTGTGTATGGTTCACCAGTTGTATTGCCTAAAAACTCAAAATCAAACTCATTGTGGGTTGGTCCATCTGATGACATCTGCATAATATTCACAAGTAAAAACAGAGTCCATAAGATAACCATAAATCAGCTACAAGTAGAGATTATTTTCAACATTAAACTCAATCCAATAGTAAAATGAAATAAATGCTTGATTTATTACAATTTACTTAAAATTATGACCCAATGCATGTACTGAAAAATCTGATATAATGTCACACTACTAATATTGTCGGCAATTAGAAATTTCATTGTTCCTAAACAAGTGTTGTTTTAGCAAAAAACAAAAAAAAAAGTTTATGCCCAAAATCAGCGTCCTCATTTAAAAAATTCAAGATAAAAACTAGTACTATATTCTTAAAATATACATTCTATTGGCATGAAATAAACTAAAATGACTGCGAGGAAGATATTAGTTTTAGACTTACATAGAATGCAGTGACAGTTCCAGCAGAGTCACCCTCAACAAGCTTAATCTGAACAGTAACTTTCCCAAACATATATTTGCTCTTTGATTGAAACCCAGTACCTAAAATTTCACAAATAAGCAAGCAACTAAGCAAAACTACCAAAAAAAATCTTGAATTCACAACAATACACATTAAAAAAAAAACTCAAAAAAGTACCAGAGAGATGATCCAATTTCATTCTAAGAATTTCTCCTTCAGTTGTCAAATGGTCAAAAGCCCAACTGGGTTGATACAGCTCCTCAAATTTTGCAGAGCTAACCAAACCCACCATAAACAGCACAACAAAACTCGAAAAAACACAATTAAAAGACACCATTTTTTTTTTATTTCAGAGTTATATGAATTTATCTCTTGTTTAGATGAATAGGCAAGAATAAAATGGAGTGCATTTTATAGCAAAAATGAGAAGCCATACTGCCACGTCAACAAACATTTAAGTGACACGTCAATGTCCACGTAGGACACGATACTCGATGTGTCAGAGGGTAAAAAAAATGAAAAATATTATAGCCGTTAGCACTAATTGGCTTAGCTGGAATTAAAAAAAAGTTGGTCCCATGGTGGGGAACAGCACAGTAGGTGTAGTCACTATTGAGAAAAGGATGAGTACTTGTACTTGACTAATGATAGATTGACACGTGGAATATTACAGCTGGGTTATGGCAGTGTACAGTTGTCATTAATTTTGGCTGTAGCAGATTTTTTTAAAAAGGGAAATTCTTTTTCCTTTGTAAAAGCTAAGTATTCTATTCGCGTGTAGTGAAAAAAAGACACTTCTTTTAATTCGTACAAGAGAGGTTTATAAGTAGACATATATTGATATATGTTCATTTGCTCAATTTTATATGAATTTAAAGATACAAGTATAGTTAGATATTTATTGAGAGACATCATTTATGTATAATGCATATATTATATAGGAAGTACTAAATAACGAGGAAATTTGGTCAGAAAATTGAAAAAACCATAATATATTTTTTATTTTAAAATAAACTGATCTTTTTTTCATTTTTTAATTAAAAAGTATTAAAGTTAAAAGGGTAAGAATATTTTAAAAAGGTAAAATAACATAGATAAAATAGGCATAATACATAAATATGCCATTTAACTTAGCTTCATTTCACATTTATGCCCTCAAACTTTGAATATGCATAAGTAGACACTTAAACTTGTATAAAGTTGAACAAGTAGACACATTAGTTATATGTGACACAATACACGTAGAACACCACGTAGGACAAAAAATGACATGAAAGATCCCATGTAGGACATGCGTGTCAATTTGCTCAACTTTATACAAGTTAAAATGTGTACTTATACACACTCAAAGTTGAAGGACATAAATGTGATTTGAAGCCAAGTTAAAGGACATATTTATGTATTATGCCGATAAAACATCATTTTGGCCAAAAAGATTTTTCCATATTATATTTTGTATGGTTAATATCCTTATATTAGGGAGAGATGATAATAGATATGACGTATTTGCAGATTCCTGAGGACATGTTTAGATAGAAGGGTATGGACGTCGCGTATAAGGATAATAGGTGGTGAGAAGTGTTCTTATTCCGATATTTGGTTGGATACGACTCGATTGTAGTATTTGTGTAGAGTTTTTGAGTATCATTTGTGATTTACTGTGTATAGGTGACTGGACCTTATTGTTCATGTTACGATGTCTTGCATATATGCGCCGCACTTTTTTGCTATTAAATGTTATGTTTTTATTTTGATAACTACTCTTATTTGCTTGAGTCGGGTTTGGGAGGGGGGAAGGGGTATTGTGGAAGCAAACTATTTACCTTCTAGAGATAATGGTAAGATTGCGTAGTACTCTATTCTTTCCAGATCCCAATTTGTGGAATTTCAGTGGGTTTGTAGTTGTATCCTTATGCTTATTATTTAGAGGTGAAATGAAAATTTAAAATTTTTGAGTTCGAGTTCATTAATTTGTTTGATTCAAAATTAATTATTCCCAACTTACCCTCTACCGACGCTCCTTAATTAATAATTCATAACTTCCTCGAAATAGAGAGTGATTCTTAATAATATGAATGAATTATGTTACTGAAAATATGATATTATTACTAAAATAGCAATCATAGATATTACGATAAGTTAAACGTGTTAGAAGATTTATTACTTTATAGATATTGGGAAGCAATCTTTTTTCTAAGGTTGGCCCATGAATAACAAAGAGTGGAAGGAAGGAAAATAAAATGAGGAACATATGGTGGAATATAATTGAAAACACAATTGCAGCCACGTTACATCATTAATCTCAAATATGTAGTTAATATCTTAAATTTGCAAATAAATTTCATTTAGTTTCTCAAATTATATGCAATATATTTTGATTGAATATCTAAACATATTATAAAGTGTTTTCTAAATATTTTCGATTTAAAATTTTAAAATGTACTTTCTCAAACGTCTATTATATAGATAAGTTGCTCACTTAAATATGTCACATTCATTAATTATACAAATTAACCTCGATAAGACTTGAAATGCCATTCATGTTCAAATTGGTGTGAATCTGTATATAAGAGACGGCATATTCTATATAATCTACTAATTTATGTAATGTGAGCTTATAAACATACACACAAACCTTTTCTATGTGAGAAATATTTTATCATGTGTTTAGATGTTTATTCAAATATCTACAAGAAATTTACTACTACAAAGAATACGTACCATATGTTTTCAAAAATCTATTTTTGAAATTATACTTACTTGACGATAGTGAAGAAGCTTGTGGGGTTGTTGGTTACTTTTATTCTTTGCATTTGTTTTTGGAATTTGTATAGTGTGATAATGTCAGTGCCAGCTGCAACTTTTTGCCAGGGCGCACTTATCATACTCTTAACATCTTTTTTTTTCCTCTCTTTATACTATGCTTTTCTTATTTAAAGCTACTTATATAATTTTGAATCTACAATGCACACTTTATTAGTAAGTATACATTTTAGAGCCTCAACATGCATGTGTCCCATATTACACAACTTGTTTAGTGTACTATGTTTCAATTTATGTGATAGTATTTGAACTTCGTTCAAAAATTATATGTTATGAATTTAAATGGTAACCCAAACATTGTATTTAACTCACTAAAATATGAACGGTAACACATAAATTGGGATGAGGTGAGTATCATTTTAAGTACAAAACGAAGAAATATTGTACAGCTGGATTCTCATATTAGTAAAGTAGCATACACTAAAAAATGTTTTTTTTGCTAGGGTTTAGTAATTAAATATAAAGGTTATTCAGAGAATTAATTATAATTACAAAATGATAAAGAGGAATGTAGCAGGTGAGATCTGGTTGAGACTTCAGACAGATCCCAGATTATCCTCATGTTGAATGTTTTATTTACTTCAATTTGCAGATAAAACAGTTGTCTTCCAATATTAATAGTAATATATTTCTAATCGAATCCCTCAAAGAATGTATCCTCTGTATAGGTTTTTTCATTTCTGAGTAAGGTTAGATATCTCAAAATTTAATTTATGTTTATTTAATTGAAGATATAACTTATCTCGTAATAAATTAATATTTCAAACTTAATATTATTTTATTTCGTTCAAAAGATGGATAAATTATTTAGAAATAACTCTGTCAGCAAACCAAACGATCCAGATGATATTATTTTGGATATGTTACCATCAATAAGTTTTTTTGGATGGTAAAAATGAATTTCCATAATTGAAATTGCTTTGTTCACCGAAAGAAATGTACTGTTTGATTGGTGTTGTGTCAAATCTTCATAATTGAATTGCTCTTTTCATTGAAACAAAGAGAATAATTTTTTATCCTTTTTATTTTTTGGGTTTTCGATAAAGGAGCACTGAGTTGATGGATGTATTTTATGAACTTTATTTCTTTAATCTTTTTGGCATTCAATTAATTTAGAAAATTGACAATCAAGTTGAAAGGAAGAAGTCCAGCTACCAAACTATCCCTAATAATTGTATATATATTTTTTTTAATCATATTAGTATGAGAAAGATTGCAACTTAAAGTATTTATATGAGTCCAGATGCAATCAAGTACGTCCAGTTTCATGTATTTGAAGATATGTGTCAAATTTGTTTTAAATACATTGTATCCAAATAAATTCGTATGTATATGGGATACATAATAAATTTCGTTCACTTCCCGCGTCATATGCGAATCACACCAGATATATGTATCTAGTATGATTCACATATATCTGAAATACATAAAAAAATCTCACTCGCCTCTCTCCCTATTTTAGTGTATCTGGTAGCAAAAATACTTGTATCTAAGTAAATCTTTCTCAATATATGATAGAAAACTCTTAATTAGTGATAAGATATTTAATATTTTGAAATAATAATAATAATAATAATAATATATGACAGTGAAGTACGTCTAATTACTAAGTAGTTTCTCCTTCTTTTTTTCCTTTTCTATATTTGATAAATTTCTAGTTCTAATTAAATATGTTTCAAATAGGAATTTGTTTTTTCTATATTCGATAACTTTCTAATTCCAACAATTTAGATGATATGTTTATAAATGACATTTTAGTACCATAAATAACTTCAATTAAATATTACAACATTTAAAGTGAAATTTTACTTATTAGAATTAGTGGAGAAATTTCACGAAGTGTCCAAGTGCTGAAGTGGACTTGCTCTTTTTAAAAAGTGAAAAAATTTGCTACTAGTGAAATTTGAACACATGAACACTTTAAGTTCGTATGTATTTTACTTTTTCAAGGCGTCTGAAACAAATAAGCTACATCACATTTTTGTGTCAAAAGTGTCCAAAATATGTTATTTAGCCAATTTATTTATCATTTTACTTATATATACTGACATAAAGATGGCTACGCCACTAAATTTAGAATTCTATATCTAATCAAAATAAGATAGTTATAAATGAATACGCAGAGAGTAAGTAATTTGTTTGGAGAGAGAACTTAATTAGCGCATGGGTTGACGAAAGGTTTTAAGAAGACATAAAGAAAGCCAAAAAGTGGGACACAAAGTCCATTCTAGTCCTCTTAAATAATTTAGGCTACATATTTTTTTTAAAATAATAAATGAAAGGAAATGGTTAGGTTTTTTTACAATAGTACATATTTTATTTTATTAAATGAGTTTTATGTCTTCCATGCTACGATTCCTTGCTGTCCAAATTTAGTATCGATATAGGTTAGGAAGCTGGACAATAATAGCTTCTTAATGTCAAGTTAAAATCGAATGTTATCGCAAGAAAAGAAGTGGCATTTGAAAAGTGTTCGGAGATCGAATAGAGCTTACTAAATTCAGATTGCACATTGTATAGGGTTCATTCGGAGATGACGCTTCCAACATGATTTTTTCT